CTTCGCATTGCCTGTCTCTCTGCTAGTTCTATTGATCTTTTGCCATCAGCAATCACCCGTCAACGGATTGATCTGGGGAGCCCAAATCGGCAATCGGCATTGAACCCAGTTAAGCTGAGGCTTAGTTATAATCACAATCTTAACCCTTTTATTTACTGCCTTTTTCTTTTTAATGGCATAGTATGCTGCGAAATATAACTCGTATATAATGCTGAGATATTTGCAAAACTTATATTCGTTCCCTACCGCATACACCTGCGGTCCGGAGTTTTGCAAATATCTCAGCATTATATACGAGTTATATTTCCCAACATACCCTGCCATTAAAAAGAAAAAGGTAGTAAATAAAACGATTAAGGTTCTGAACTTATATTTTACTTCGACTTAGCCCCTTTTCAAACCCTCGGTACACTGTACACCCGGTAGTACTCGTCTAAAAGTCTTTAGGAAATTTCTGTCTGAAAAGGTATAGTAATAAAAGGCCTCTAACTCTTTCTTTGTTCCGCAGCGAGCGTAGCCGAAATAAAGATCTGGTACGCGTTGCGACTTAGTGGTGTCATTCACGTCACTGGAAGCATAATTGACAGATTAAAGGGGGTTTAGAACTTCACGTTGTTCGCTTCTCAAATATTGGAGGATCATCTACGGAGGAATGAAGCGGTATTTTGAGGTTCTTTGCAATGTACATGATTGGTTCACTGATGCTCTTAAAGAGCTAACCATTGCCTTCATCCTTATAAGGTAGGCGAGTGGCACCATGCTTATCAGAAAGAGTAAAAACAATGATGAATTCGTATACCGGCAGACCTCCATGAGTCACTGAACAGGTCAATGTACATTCTTAAGATTCATTTCAACCATACAGCTAGTATAATTCTCGCAGGTATTCTCAATATCCAGTCTTAATATTAACGATGTAAGTATAAGGGATAACAAGATGATTGTGTTAATTTTCAGAACGAACGGCCAACAATCTAATGATATGAACTTTTGCTTCATTAAACTTCACAAATATCAGTTTCATTTATAGGCTGCTATCAAGTGGAAACGGCGATGACAGATGAAAAGACAACGGAGAAACCGACACAGGACATGCCGGAAACGAATAAGGAAGCGATTCAAAGCAAAACGGCCACCTACGAGGTAGCTAAATAATTTTATTTCTGAGTAGGGTGAACTTTTCTTCATATCTTCCCTGGAAAATTCTGTTTGTTTTTGACTTTTTACTTACTTCCCATTCTTTTTTCTTGGAAAAGACAACCACAAAGGCATTGTTCTACGAGTAAAGCTGGGATCATAGAAAAGCTTCGAAACTGAGTTTACCCTTAGTGGAGGCTTACGTGCTATCCATCACGCCAACCGAGGCTCGCACATTGTTTTTCCCTCAGCAATATTTTAACCATATCGTTGGAATCAGCAATCCATCAAAAAAGGATATGGCTGAGAGGAAGACAAAGCAAGGGCCTCGGTTGCATTGGTGCATAACACGTGACCCCTCGTTAAGGGTAAAGATGGGTTCGAAGCTTTCCTGAGGCTCATATCTCAACTATATTTGCTATTCGAATCACATTTGCCAGGACTTATGGAAACCGTTTGCTTAATTCATATAATTATCGCTTCTGAAAACTCTATTAGCGGAAAGTCAGTTCAGCATATCTAATCGGACTAGACCTAATGTAGTGAGTCCGAGTTAGAGTTACCTATCTGCTGAGGAATCACTCGCGTCCTTTATGGTGTCCGATTTTCGTCGCTGTGTTATGCAGTTCTACAGCAAGTACCGCATGGCTTTCCGTCACCGATTTGCTTGTAAATTAATGAATGAAACTGAAAATTATTTGTAAGCCAAATGCTGCGTCCGTTTCTTAAAGGTTCTTGAAATTCTTGGAAAAGGTGCATTCGGTTCCGTATTTCGAGTGAATCGTCTTGAAGACAACAAACAGTTAGCGATGAAATGCGAATCATGTCATGCGGAAAAGAAGGTCAGTTAGCTAGATCACCAGTAGCATGTAAGCTTTCCCACAAAACTACTCAATTCTATAGGATGAAGCTGTTAGCGTTGACCATTCCCTTTTGCATTCAACTTCTCTAAGCACCATACCAATGACTGCACGTATAGTTTATCTGAAGAGTAACTTTCCGTGTCCTACGGATGTATCAAGTCACTGTCTCTCTCTCTCAGATTGTTCTGCTAGCAATTTATCGATCCCGGAGAAATGGAGACATTGCTTTCCAAGGTCACATAACCGCGCAAATGACCATCTGGATATTGCATCACAGCTTTATCCACTGCGCTTCACACTCCCGTACGATGAGTATGCTGCCTTGAAGTAATTTCTGACCTGGTTAATTATGGTATAGCACTTTGTTCTAGATCTTAAAACATGAGGCGAAAGTGTTCAAATGTATGAGTAAACTTAATTCTCCACACTTCATCTCTCTTGAAGATCGAGGAAAAGTCTCAGGCCGTTTCATGTTTCTCATCCTAAGATTGGTGAGCTCTACTGTTTTTGTTTGATCGTTTTTGATTAAAGACAATGTCGGCAAGAATCATTCGTTTAAGTGCGCGAATAAAACAGAATTATACTCTTAGAAACCGAGTTTCCTTTAAGATCGGTGCGACTAATCGATGTGTATTCTTTCTTTGTTTGCCTTACATGAAGTTGATAATTATATCCATTTTCGGCTAACATTTCGACGTCTTCGCCTTCATCAGAGCCGATGATCCGAGTCGATGGTCCACGCTTGTTATACCTCTCGATGTGGCCCCTTCGGCGGAATGTCGGTTTCGAAATATTGTTGCTGCTATTCACAATGTTGACTTTTATCTACTGCCTTTTACTAACTTTCACGGCAGGGTATTATTTGTGTAACAACCACAACGATGCTGAGATATTTGCAAAACTCCTGACCGCAGGTGACGAACGCGCTATCGTTCTTTCCGGGGAGTAACGTGCTCACCACCACACCATGCGGATTTTTCGTTTCGCCTGTCTCTCAGCTAGTTTTATTTGCAAATATCTCAGCATCATTGTGGTTGTTTCACACATAATACCCTGTCGTGAAAGTTAGTAAAAGGCAGTAGATAAAAAGTCAACATTGTGAATTTCAACTATAGCCTCAGCTTAACTGGGTTCAATGCCGATTTGGGCTACCCAGATCAATCCTGCTGATGGGTGATTACTGATGGCAGTGATCAATAGAACTAGCTCAGAGACAGGCGAAACGAAGGACCCGCATGGTGTGGTGGAGAGCGCGTTACTCCCCAGAAAGAACAACAGCGCCTTCGTTCCCCACCGCAAACACCTGCGGTCCGGAGTTTTGCGAATATCACAGCATCATTGTAATTGTTGTTGCTGTTTGCCAGCTGATAGTGATACAGACTTCTGTAGGATTGATAATCCGAGAAAAACAAGTTGCTGTCACCGAACTATCACAGCTATTAACCATCAGCATCCTGCATAAAAAGGCATTACGGAGTAAGTATGCTTTCCGAGGAGATGGCCCACTGATGAAGACCTGACTCTACACGTAGGCGAAACCGCCACATCGAGACGAACAACAAGCGTGGATCATCGACTCGGACCATCGGCTCTGATGAAGACGAAGACGTCGAAACGTTAGCCGAAAATAAATATCATTATCAACCTCGTGTAAGCTCATCAAAGAAAGAACACATATACTCTTAGATATTATACTGTGATAAAAATCAGGAAGAAATATCCACTGATATTCAGAAATTTAACAATAGGTGACATAGGGTTGGAATCCGTTGATACTAATGTTATGCAAGATGTGTGACGTCGCGGTTACTTCACTCTAACACCCCACTCTGCGATATTTGTCTGGTGAAATCATGGCACTAAACCAATGAAGCACTAAGCTAAGAGTGATTGCTGTCATTCCGATAACCGATGGCTGCTGATAACTTGTCGACTACTACAGCACTACAGAAATTGAGAACCCGCCTTCAAGAAGAATCTTTACGCTATTGTTCTAAGGGCATGTAAAAGATTCTCTCTGAATTTTTTCATTCTTGATTTCTGTCCCGTTGTCTAAGTGTGACCCTGTTCTAAAAATGAGCCTTGTCAAAAAGAAAACGAACTGGAAAACTGTGGGCTCCACAAAATCACAGTTTCATAGTTATGGGTTAAAAATGGTCGCACTGTGTTTTTATGAAAATCGATGAAATTCTTCGCAAACTAAGAGTTACCTGTTCAAGGCCGAAAGGCTAAGTTCATTTTCACACTCTGAGTTATATATGACTTATGTCGTCAGGAATGTGTCAAAGTACGTCACTAAAAATAGAATAAAATCGTATAGATATCACTAAAGCGTTGAAAACGTCCTTTTTCCCTAAAGATTATGAGTGTGAAGTAATTGTGGCGCTAACATCTCATGTTCCAAGGATTAGGACGAGTTGTCCGATGCTTACACAGATTTGTATAAAGTAGCGCATGCGGAATGGGTGCCTATCGATTGATTAGTTGCGAATTAACGAGTGGGTCAAGGTGGGATTAAAACTTGATGACGATACATTCTTGAAAATAGCCCAATTCGACAAAGTGCAGGCAAAGAAGTCTCACATTAGTTTCCTGCTTCTGAAGTATTTTTTCATAGCTAGAGGATGGTAAATTCCTTAACTTTCTATGTTTTACGGATGATGCTGCACTAAAACGGTCAGTTATGTGCTCCGAATGCGAATGGGCTAATATTATGCCCCGATTCATGATAGATTCACCCTTGGTAATGACTCGTCTTTCATAGGTCGGCAAAAATCTCTGGGATTTGCGACATGAAATTCCAGATCAGAAATTCTCAATGGGCACGTCTATACGTGCTGCTGAACAAACTGTGGCTGGAATTCGCGACTTACACACTGTGAGCAGTTAGTAACTAAATACTACGAATCGAAATAATGAAAAAATAAAGCAGAGACGCCTACAGGAGAAACTTTATAGTGGTCTATCAGACCAGAGAACTTCAACACTTGAACGGTTTTCATGCAGTGTGGTTACATTCACCGAGATATCAAGCCAACAAACTTTGTGATTGGACGAGAACAAGACGGCGATCTGCACACCATATTCATCATTGATTTTGGTTTATCACGACGATACAGGTACCTCATTGCCGTATATCTTTCACTTTCATCTTTTCACTAAAGTCCCCAAATACTGTGCTCTGCGGAACGCGTGTAATGCGGTGGTTAACGTCCCTCAAAAAGATAGAGGGCTCTCGGCGTCGATGAATCCCTGTGGGATTCGCCACGCATTCGACTTCACTAAGCATCATTAGAGGTGATTGAATGCATATCTGGCTTTTACAATAACTCGCGGCGGCCTATCGATGTCTCCTGCCAGTACTGCTATCCTCCCAGACAGGTCTGGTGCCAATTTTCCGACTCCAGAGAGATTTTTGGTGAGCCTGGCGCGTGGGGATCGATCCCCTGTATAATGGAAGTTGCCTCCGACCATGCGCTATACGCACCCTTAACTCGACAAGCTGAAAGCAGGGCGCGAACGTGGTAACGTGCCTAACAATACGCAAAATATCATTTTGTAAAAGTCATCACAGAAGTAGAAAATTTGGTTCGATCCCGCGCTTCGGGCAAACCAAAGTCCAATTTTTCCAGGGGCCGACAAATTAATAGCGTACTGGTTTGGGCAGAATAAGAACACACATGATAGATGGGTAGTTCACGAAACTACATTCAACCGCATTCGCGACTTTCAATTGAGCCGAATACATGGACATACTCATTTCCCAAAGAATGTTCAGTACGAAGCGACTTCTTCTTTTATCCTTTGCTGTACTCCCGGATATCGTGAAATCAATTTCACAAATAATGTAGACAGGGAACTAAAGCAATAACTACTTCGTCTTGGGAAAAATATCGTTTCTTTTCAGGACGACTGACAAGGATTTACGATATCAACGTGAAAAGGTCGCATTTCGAGGTACAACACGATATGCGAGTATTAGTGCACTGGAAATGGTTGGTAGATTTATGGGTTTCTAAGCTCAAGTAGAAATAAAAGAAGTGATTTAGAATGTGCAAAATCGGAAATTTGAACACAGAAGTTTATGAGGAACACTATTGATATAACTATTATCAGTCTAATGCTCGTCTTTATCAATAAGGAACAGTGACTCGTAAATTTCGTTTTACCCTGGCGTCTCATAGAGATCCGACGACGATTACTGCCAATTCATCGCGACTTTGGTGCGTATCGACTGATGAATAAGAAATTGCGCATTAATACAATCAAAAATTTCAAGTGATGTTGTTAAGTTTTCATTACTATCAAAGTCTAGTGGATTTAGGGTAACCTTATCCTAAAAGCTTCAGATTAAAGTTTGTTCTCTTCTGAAAACAAAGATTCCAGAAGGAACAATCTCGTAAAGACGATATTGAATCGTGGTGGTATATGGTACTGGAGTGGATGATCGGGAAATTACCGTGGCGACATTACAAGGTGAGAAATTGGTGCGATATACATAAGTGGAAGCAGAAATGGTTCCCAATATGACGAGTTTAAGAACTTCAAAAGCATTAAGGGCTGTGAACGTGATGAAGTAAGGCAACGTAAAAGAGAACTACGAGAGCCGGGAAACCTGATGACGGTAAGACTGAAATGCAATAGATCTACAAGTCGTAAGGTTCTTTCTCAGAGCTCGTAATTTCAAAATAACGGAACCAACTTTTATCGCATAGAGTTCGAGCGCAGAAAGGATAATAAGGATGGACAAGTCGCTCATCGGATAAAATTATCTCCGTTAATGCACTTCCAGGCAGAAGTCTGTAATTAAATGAATACAAAAAAGGGTCATCTGAGTAAAAATGTCTTTGCTGGGTTATTTCTTTGTGTTCTCATAATTTATGAATTTCCGTCTGTAGATAAAAATTTGCCTGTCTGCTAGCATTTCTTTAGATGCCTGCTATTCGAAACGAAGGACCCGCATGGTGTGATGGTGACCGCGTTACTCCACGGAAAGGATAATAGCGTGTTCGTTCCCCACCGCAGACACCTGCGGTCTGGAGTGTTGCAAATATCTCAGCTTCAATGAAGTTATATTTCGCAATATACCCTGCTAGTAAAAAGAGTAGGCAGTAAATAAAAGGGTCTAAAAGGCTCTTTACATCGTCGACACAACCAACTAAGCAATTCTGGAACACAGTGGGGACACAGAGGCTTTTTTCGGCTTCCTGCGCTTTTCTATTTCTGATTGTGCTTCTTATTAGCTTCCCATTTTTATTTTTATAGAGTGGACACTGAAAGTCTTTGCCCCTAAATGAAGTTTTTTTCCACCATCCTGTTTCCATTATATCTCTGACGAATATGTCCAACTAAGTCGAAATCTCATAAATTTTGTTTTCTACTTATTGAAACAAAAACCATCTTCTTCTAATACCTAAAAAGATCCATTTGTTAAGCTTTACTTTTGCAGCTACTAAAGGATACTCCTCAGACGTACATGGCAAATATTATTCTCTACATTGATACTCTCGAATATGCTTCAATACCCGATTACAATCACATCGCAGCACAACTAAGCGCATCTATGAAGGTATCGAAAATTTCCAAACGCTCTTCACTGCGTTGTTGCACACTGGACGAGTTCTTTAGTTCTGTTTAGTTTTCTGTCGCTCTTCGTATCAACGGTATGCTCAACTTTTGGGCAATTAAAAAGCTTATAAGGAATTTCTTTGGCATTGGCGTATTTGGGCTATTGGTAGTGATTTTACTGATGCACAAAGGTTTTGGTAGCTCAGCAGTCGATTTATTGGCTCACAGAATGAATAATAAGGCAGAGTAACCCAAAGCCTAGTTAACTGATTGTAGTTGTTGCGTATCTGCTGGATACTCGAAGGTAGATTTGTTGTGTCGACTAGTCTGTCGATCTGCCGAATTGAGAGATTTGTAATATATAATTGCTACCCTGTAGCGCTTAAGGAGCTTTGAGTGCAAGTCTCGAAATGGAATTTGCACTTTTAAGGTACTGCAAGAACACTGTGAACCATGTTAATACGAACAAAACTCGGAGCGCCAGTCGACGTTCTAGCCTGCCATTATTCTAACTGAACAGGAGTCACATGAGCCACCAGATTAACCGAGACCCTTGCCTTGCCTACTTCGCAGCCTTGTTTTTACTCTATCGGCACGTGTCAGCGGGAGTGATCCAAGACGCACAGATCAGTAGTGAACCATGTTAAGCTGAAAATATTGTGATTTCTACTGAAAGTTGAACTGAACTGGACTTAATGCAGATTTGTGCCTCCCAAATCTTTCCCGCTTACGGGTAACTGCTGTTATCACCGATAGAGTAAAAAAAAACTGATTGAGGGAAAGGCAAAGCAAAGGTGGATAGCACGTGAGCTTCCAGCATGGATGATCACGGATTCAAAGCCCAACTGAGGTTCTAAGTTTTGCTCATAGCTTAACACTCGCATGATTTCTGATTCTGTTCAAAAGTTGATATTCACGGTAAAGGAATTCAAACGAGAGTAGTTTAGGCATATCATTTGGACTACGATGAACCACTAGACTGGGACGCAAGAGGGTCCTATGCTGGGCCACGGTATGAGGATACTCCGTCATAAGTGATTAAATGTAAGTTTTCTATGCAAAATTCCTCTGCTTTCAATACTGTTATCTACCTATTTAAACGACCCGTCCTCATACGTCGTGAAACTTCCAGAACTTCTTCTATTAATTTAGTTGCCTTCCAAATATAATCTATGGAAGTGCTCGCATTCATGTCTGACTTCAGCTGTGTTTCGGTGATATGAATGTTAGTTCCAGTTGTGAAGACAGCTGAAACGTTCTTCTGCCCAATTTTCTTTTTGTTCCTCAAGGACATATCGACTTTCTCGAGATCCTCTCTTATGTTCTTTTCATCCACCTGTCACCCTATCTTTTCTTCACATGACCAATCCAGCGATGCTTATTTTTTGAGACGCACTCGGCCAGCTCTCGAAGTTCTTTGATGATCCTAACTACGAAAACGGAAACAGTGTTCGTTCGTCGTTCGACTGCCCTGTGTACTACAAAAAAGCTTATCAATGGCTCAAGTTTTTCGATATCTTCTACGAAGTTTTCTCAAATCCTTGCCACTATTCATCGAAAATCTCGGGTATAATGTATGACGTGATATCCCTACTTGGTGATGGATCCAAGATAATAACCTGTCCTCTTTTGTACCAGGACTTTTCCAGGAATTAAGACTTCTTCCAATTGATTCGCTTCAATTTTTTCCCTCTTTCATTGGGCTTAGTAGTAATTGTATCTTTCCTTGCCGTATACTGCTTCAAGCGAGAACAACGTTGTCGACAAAGCGAAGGCCTTCTGTTGGACGCCACTAGACCTCGGTGGTTGAAAAGGGCAAAATGGCTTTAATTTCAACACTGCAAAATGCTTCCTCGTAGTCAACGAGGGTTAAGGCAAAGAATGGATGATGTTCTCCGCAAAACTATGATTCTCGAGAGTTTAGATGTAGTCCATGCGACTAAGCTATTACGAAATACAGCATACTGCATAGTTTGAGCGCCATCGAAGTTCTTCAAGGTGCACCTTAGGATAATCTTCGCGAAAGTCTTATACACCACTCGATAAGTTGATCGGACTGTAGTTACGAACGGTATCCTTATTGCCCTTTCTGGGTTAAACATTTTGGTTTTCAATATACTGTCGTTGACAACATTTTGAACCCGGTAGTGTTAAGTAAGGACAAAATTTCAGAATTCCTATCGCTGTAATCGATTCATTGACGAAGGATTCAATTTCAAATATGTGCATTTAATGTATAGTCGAACAGAATAAACGTTTAATGTACAAATAAAAGTAGTGTTTGTATGCTACCAGTAAACAGGTGAAAGCACGTGGGGCCGAGACCCTGTACTGACAGGGTTGAAGTCGGAAAAGAAATACAACAAGAGAGAATAACTATGAAGTTTTACTTAGTCACAAACTGCATGTCATTTCATTAATGCCCAGAAATTCGAGACATAATGGTTTGATTGTATGGGTGTAGGACAATGTGAGAAGCACTGAATGCCGTTGTTTCGCTGATTAATGTAGATGAAATCACGATGTTAACTTTTTGTTTACTGCCGTCTACAATTTTTCATGGCAGGGTATTATGCGAAATACAACCACAATGG